AGTATTTTTGTGACACCTCTCCTGGAGCTGCACCTGCCTCCAGAACATGTAATCAGCTAAAAGATGAAATTAAGACCTATAAATAGAATTCATCTTTGAGATAAGAGTCTCTTTGGAAGGAAGTGAATGAATAAACACCTTTCAGAATATGTAAAATTAGTTACATTTTCCTGCCTTGTGAATATCTTACTGATACTTGATCTGTAAACTGCAGTCTTTTATTCCTGTTTCTTTTCCTTCAAAAAAATCAACTTATATTCCACTACTTTGCATTCTTTAACCATCCTAGATTTTAAAATCTGCATAGAACTGTTAGGATTCATACTTCATTCCACCTAGAAGAGTACACTAAATATGTGATTAGATTAAATCAACAGTATTGTACATAATATTCTTAAATGAGAATTCATAAATTGTAACATCAAACACCTAGTGATACAAATTGATACAGATTAATACAAAAAGATTATAAAAGCCTTCATATATTCATATGCCAAGCTGAAAGGCCCACTTAGCATTTTTCTCCAAATTGGCAGAAGAAAGAGCAATGCCCATTGCTGTTAACAAATTTGGCATCAACGCTGGGTTCCATATTTTTCCCATGAAATTTTCTTTACAGACAGCCAAATGATGACAAAAAAGTCTACTCCATTTCACAGCTATTAATTCTTTATTTTAGCCAAGATGATACAAAGATTCAAAATATATTATGTGAAAAAATATTTAAAATGTTTTTTGCATTATGAAACCAAAGTTAAATATATGTTGATGTGCTTATAAAAATTTCTTTATCAAATACATGTAAATAATGTTACAAATTTGCTTTTGTAAAGTTGTTCTGAAGTTTTATGGAAGACTTTATTGAAACACTGAGCTATTGTTTGTGACCTATGGATTCATATGGTCAGAAGGAATCTTAGCAGTCATCTAGAACTTCTTTTCCAGCTCAAGGATTTGTTTTGTTTTGTTTTGTTTTTTGGTGGGAGGTGGTTCAGAATCTTTGACAATTGATCTCCTAACCTGTTTTTACTGTTTCTTGTTGCTTTCTTCAAATATCTTTTTGGGCATTGAGTTAAAATCAGCCTCCTTGAAATATTACCTATTAGCCCTAATTCTATATTCTAGAATAAAACAAGAGATAATTTGGACTGTTCACCAAGTTAATAAAAACTCCAAATCTGGGAATCATTCTCAATCTTTTGATTTTCTTCTCACTTCCTCTATTTGTCTCTCACTGGTTTAGCTCCATCTTATTTATATTCAAAGGATACATTTGATCCACCCACTTCTTTCCATTTTCACAACCGCTAGATGGTTGTCCAAGCCATCATCATCTTAGCCCTAGGCAACAGTGCGACCCTCTACACCATGGCCATTTCAGTTCTCATCTGTGCAATCCAGGGTGGAGTCCGTTGACCTTGGGGCAACACAAGATGATTCATTAAGTTGCTAAAAGAAATGTCATAGATTCTATTCATATTTAATGTTTATCTCATGCATTTTAATTTCTATTTTGTGTGTTTTATAATCATGAATTAATTTAAGAGCACATGAGTGTAACATAAACAAATATACATAAACTGGGGTTTAGATATTGAATACTATTTTCTATATACATTCTCATTAGCACAGAATGGGATTCTCAGAATTTTCATGTGGCCTATATAATATATTATATAATTAATATTTTAGTTCTCATTTTTTGCTCTTTTATTAAACTCATCATCTGAGATATCCAACTTCTCAGATTTATTTACACACTCATATAACTAATGGTTAAACAATTGATATTTTTCAAACTGAAATGTCTTCCATTTATCTTAGTTATTTTTATACATTTTTGTAAATTTTGAAACAATCTCATGTTTATAGAAAAAGTACAATTACAGCAAACTAGCAATTTTGCCTGAACCATTTTGAAAGTTAATTGCTAACATGAGGATCCACAGCCCTCAATACTGTTTATATTCTACAAAGTAGGGTATTCTCCTGTGTGAATCACAAAACTGCCATCAAAAACAGGAAATGAAAATTACTATTTTAATTTAATCCCGAAGCTCCATTTAACATCTCCCAGTTCTCCCAGAGTCACACATTGAATTTAAGTGTTGTGTCCCTCCAGTCTATTTCAAACTGGAAGAGTCCTTTGAATGACAGAATCTTAGGGTTAAATTCAGGTCACGTTTTTTGACTGGAACATCATAGAAACTATACTGCCTTCCTCTCAGTTTTATGCCCTGCACAATTTTGTATTATCACTCTACTGATAATACTAGCTTTGGTAACTTGATTAAAATGGTGTCTCTCAGGTTGCTTCTTTCACAATTTCTGTTTTCCTTACATAATTAACAAGTGTTTTATGAGGTAATTTGAGACTCTCTGGGTATCATATTTCATATCACACTTTTTACTTAGTTATATCAGTATGGTCTCAGTATTTCCTACTTTACTTGTGAATATAATTTTTTACTATCTCTATTTATTCTGATGCCCAATTGTCTTGGATTTGACCCTAAAGAGCCTTTTCATTCAGGCTTCTACATTCCTTTGACATATTCCCTTCAAGCTATTTCTTGTTTTCTATATTTAATCTCCTGTGTTTCAACTTTTCAGGTCACTTAGATTCACTTTGGCTCTTGATTCTGCCACTTCTAATATCAGCTATTCCTCCTGATAATAGGCATCTCTTCTATTGCCATATTCAGGTCATAGATAAATTTTACCAATAAATTGAAGCCAAAGAAAAGGTCCTGATGTGCAGCCCCAGAAACTGTCTTCCAGATCAGTCTTCAATCAGTTAATCCAAATTTGATAGTATATTTTGGATAATTGCCTTATTGTTCTCCAAGTCAGTTGCTACTGTCAAGTGAAAGTCATTCTCAAGCCACATACACCGGGGAGCTTTTCTCTTGATATCGACCGTCTTCTTCTTGAAATGCAATGTCTATTTTTGGCATTCTTATGGTGAGAGGGGACCAACAGAACCAGTAGTTCTACTCTGCACAGGTTGTCAGGTGCTGTCTCCCTCCTAAATGATGCCAGGGCTCAGAGAAGTAGTGCCTTTGAACTCCCCATGGCTACTGGGATCTGACGTACAGCTCACCTGGTGATGTCAAAGTACATGTAGTAATACTAACAAGTTAATAAACACCAAAGATTAATGAAAATTAATCCAAAATTTAAATGGGTCTAGCTACTTAGTCACTTGTGTAACACAAAAGAATCTGCAAAGCTAAAAACCTGGATCCAGAATAGACCTTCAGGACATAAGCTGTAAAACTTACCTTGCACTATATGAATCTGAGAGATTTTGGACTGTTTTATTTTGGTTGGTGTCTTAGTTACTTTTTTATTGATGTGACACAATACTTGAAACTCACAAATTAAAGGAGGAAAGGTTTATTTATGTCTCACAGTTTGTAAAGGTTTCAGTCCATTGCTGGCTGGATCCAAGGCTGGGAGGCAAGGCAAAGGGACATGACAGAGAAGAAACAGCTCGTGGCATGGCAGACAGGAAGCAGACTGTGAGGGAGGGAGGAAGAAGGCCAGGCCAGCAGTGACCCAGCCTCTGACTGGGCTTCACCTCTCAACATCACATTTAGCTTTGAAGTCATCAGTGGGCTAATCCACTGATGAGTGTGAGCCCCCAGGACCTGATCACTCCCACCCAGGAGCACATAAGCCTTTGGGGTAACATTTGGATACAAACCATAACAGCATAACAGATTCAGAAGGCACAGAAAAACATGTAAATGAAAATTTTCTGTGTTACATCAAGTGGCATTAAAATATGAGATTATTATCCTTTTCTCCAATACAGTCCTATGTTTCCCATAGTGTTCCTTCTATCCCTTATTTTTATTATAGTCCTTTGTAATCTCAACGAAGAAAACAGGGTAACCTTTCTATACGTTGAGTGAATGTTAATTTTTAACATTGTTTTTTCCAAAGACATTTTTCCAAGGACTCATTTCCTGCTATTAATGGAAAAATATATTCTTAGCACAAGCTACAACATCTATTCTAAAATGGTTTCTCAATAATAAGTATTCTGTAGCCAGAAACCTTCTCAATTTCTTCTCAAAGATGCAAAAGTTTAGGCACTAAGTATAAAATATTGTTTAATGATCAACCAGGAGATTTTTGTATTAATTTTGCTTTTTCTGTACTTAAGAGTTAATTTGAAATAAATGATCTCAGGAAATTATTTAAAAACTAATATGAGGTCTTCATTGAATGAATGGTAATAATATTCCAATTCTGTACAGCATTTCTCTGATCTTGTTAGTTGGGGGTCATATAATTAAGACACTAAAATTTATTTGAATACATTCTGTTAAAAGTACTGGACTTTAAAAAGACTTTAAGATAAATAGGAAAAATCTTATTTCCAAAAATATTCATCTAGAGTATTCAAATGAATTTCAAATAATAAATTGAAGTTAATTAAAGTGCAACTTTTGAGTCAAAGGGAAAATGCTGGTAGGTCATACATCATTTGGGGTTGTCTTAGCTACTTTTCTCATTGCTGGGATAAAATACCCAAAACCCAAAGTTAAAGGGGGAAGTTTTATTTAGTTCACAGTTTGTGGAGGTTTCAGTCCATAATCAGGTGACTCCAAGGCAGGTGACACATGGCATCTACAAGGCAGCAAAAGGAACGAGGGGTAGACAAGACTCTTTCTGTCCCATGTTGTCTGCAGGCTATTCACAGTAAAGTACTCTCACACCCTGACTCCTAGCCAAAACTATGACAAACCAACCAGTGGACTGATTTACTAATCACACGCCCTTAATCCCAGCATTGCACACTCTAGATCCAGGCACCTCTGAAAAAGCCTCATGACTACGTGAGGCTTTGTGGGGACATCTAGACACAAGCCATAACAGGGTAAAGTTTACCTAATTTATATTTATAGAAACATTTAATTCAGGAGTCATTGTTTTATGTGGAGTATCTCTTTGACGCTGCCCTGACAATATTTTTATGTTTTTTTAAGGTACCAGATACACACAGGCCTTCAACATTCTATCATAAGACCTACCCAACCCAACTGTTTACCTCTGGACAACACAACCCTACCTCAGAAGCTGAAGGAGGTAGGATATTCAACGCATATGGTGGGAAAATGGCACTTGGGGTTTTACAGGAAAGAGTGCATGCCCACCAAGAGAGGGTTTGATACCTTTTTTGGTTCCCTTTTGGGCAGTGGTGATTATTATACACATTACAAATGTGACAGTCCTGGCATGTGTGGCTATGACTTGTATGAGAACGACAATGCTGCCTGGGACCATGACAACGGCATATACTCCACACAGATGTACACACAGAGAGTGCAGCAAATACTAGCTTCCCATAACCCTACAAAGCCTATATTTTTATATATTGCCTACCAAGCTGTCCACTCACCATTGCAAGCCCCAGGCAGGTACTTTGAACACTACCGATCCATTATCAACATAAATCGACGCAGATATGCTGCCATGCTTTTCTGCTTGGATGAAGCAATCCACAATGTGACCCTGGCCCTGAAGGCATATGGTTTCTATAACAACAGCATTATAATTTACTCTTCAGATAATGGTGGTCAGCCCACTGCTGGAGGAAGCAATTGGCCTCTCAGAGGTAGCAAAGGAACATATTGGGAAGGGGGGATCAGGGCTGTTGGCTTTGTGCACAGTCCACTTCTGAAAAACAAGGGAACTGTATGTAAGGAACTTGTGCACATCACTGACTGGTACCCTACCCTGATTTCACTGGCTGAAGGACAGATTGATGAAGACACTCAACTCGATGGTTACGATGTCTGGGAGACCATCAGCGAAGGCTTTCGTTCACCTCGAGTGGATATTTTGCACAACATTGACCCCATCTATACCAAGGCAAAAAATGGCTCCTGGGCAGCAGGCTATGGGATCTGGAACACAGCCATCCAGTCAGCCATCAGGGTGCAGCACTGGAAGCTGCTCACGGGAAACCCGGGCTACAGTGACTGGGTTCCACCTCAGGCTTTCAGCAACCTGGGACCAAACAGGTGGCACAATGAACGGATTACCTTGTCAACTGGTAAGAGCATATGGCTTTTCAACATCACAGCTGATCCATACGAGAGGGTGGACCTCTCTAGCAGATATCCAGGCATTGTGAAGAAGCTCCTGAAGAGGCTCTCCCAGTTCAACAAGACCGCAGTGCCTGTCAGATATCCACCCAAAGACCCCAGGAGTAACCCTCGGCTCAATGGAGGAGTATGGGGACCATGGTACAAAGAGGAAAACAAGAAAAAGAAGACAACCAAAAATAAAGCTGAAAAAAAGAAAAAGAAAAGTAAGACCAAAAAAAAGAAACAGCCCAAAGTGCTCTGATCCCCAAATTGCCATTCAGGTATTACACCTGGTTAGGTACGTGTTCAGTACATTTACTTAAATAGTCTTGCACAGAAATCCAGTTTTCACCTGTTTTCTAGGTGAACCAGCAAATTTGGCTGAGAAATATCACTGCTTAAGCATTGGGCTTGTATTCATGTTGTGTCATGCCACAGATATCAGCCCGCTGCTGCCACATGCAAACAGTCTGCCTGGTGCCAAAGGTGATGCTTCTTGAAGCCACAGTCAGAGGAGACTGGAAATGTTGACTGGTCTTGGTCCTTTATAAAAGGTGGTCAGTCTGGGGCTCACCTTCTGTGCTTCCATCAACTGACTGAACACTGCACTGTAAATTATGAGAGAGGACTTCAGCCTGCCAGCAATGAGCAAGCCAGTGTGATAGACATTATAGGGTCTTAGGATTCAAAACTACTTTTGATATGGTCAGGTTGTGTCACCTCAATGGCCTTGAAAAGTATTTTTTCTCCATGAATTTTGTATTTCTCACATGACACTCGGGTTTTTAAATTATTTCTACTTTATGTATCATTTCCTTTCTTATGGAAATAAGCTGTTTTTTCTCACATGTGAACAACTTGCACCTCATTTTATCATGCATGAAGGAAAGGCAAATAAGAATGCCTAAGTATACTGCCAAAAAGGAATGTAACTGCTTCTAAACTTTAATAAAATCACATTTCAATATAAAATATATAATTTATTTTTATGGAAAAAATATTTTGTTTTCATAAAAGTTATACAAATACTTTATTTTATTTTTATTTTCTACATACAATTGCAAGAACTTTTTCCATTTCTTTAAAATTACCAAGCACTGTAGTATCATAAATGACTGTAATATTGAAAAATAAATTTATAAAATATAAAAATGAAATTATTCAGAAAAATGGTAATCATTGTTCAGCTACTATTTTGAATGTAATACTAAGAATATATTCCTTAAAGATTACTTGGAAATTTAGTGCTTGTGCAGTTGATACAACTTTATTGTTTCTACCATAAACTATTTATGTATATTAATTATTAAAATGATCTATTTTATGGCACCAGCAAATATAGTGTGTCTTCACTGCTTTAGCTTCTAGACTTCCAGAGAAAGCTACATTATTTATTGCAGCAAGTAATTATCCTGACAAATACACAATTGAAGGTATGGTTTGCTAACACAGTAATATAACAGAGACTTTTACAAACGAGATGTTTCTACCTGGCTACTGAATCAAGGATAAGTCTAATAACACTTATAATGGCCCTACTTTTATACATGGTAGGTAAAGTGGAGACACAGAAATGAAAGATATAGATCTTGTCTGCAGTAGTTAAAATCTAGTATAGAACTCACACATGCAAATACTATGAAGACTGAAAGATGATCTTTAATATAGTTTATCACAGGCCACAAGTGACCATAAATGAGCAAGTTCAGGCCCTGAACTTTTGTTGATTTGCCCTCTGAATGCAGAGACTCCTCAAACACAGTTAGAAGAGTAAAAGACAGTAAGGACCATAGCCTGTGAGTCTACAACTGTAATAAGATGTACATGGCCATGTGACAGCAAAACATCCTATATATGCAAATGTTACATCTCAAAGGTCTGTTCATCATAGTTCCAGAAAAACTATAAAGGAACCTGTAAGTTTCACTGAAATTTTTAACTAAAGTGAGCAAAATAATTTATTTTTTTTAAATTTCATATTTTGTTTCTATAATATATAGAATTCTAGAATATATAGCACCATTTTATCACATAATTTCTTTAATTTATTTTAAAAATAAAAGAGGGAAAACATATTAACAAAAAGACATCCATTTACAAAATAGCATTAAGAACAATACAAGCAACACAGAGTTACAGACAAAGTGGCAGGAAATTAACAATGGTTGTTGCACTATGTATTGGTATCTTCAAAGTGGTTTCCCAGGAAAACAAATAGAGAAGTAAAAGACTGATTAAACAATCATTAACTGTTCCTTTCAGTAAAGTGATAGAAGTCAGTAGTACAACTGTCTTAGCTATCCTCTATATACATACCTACGTAATTTCCCCTTCTTTCTTTTCTCTGTTCCCTCATCCCTGTTGCCCTTTTTGAGCATTTTCCTTTCATTTCACAATGTCTGTCATACATTCTAATTTTTATTCACTCTTTAAGGTTCTTACACTAGTGAGACACTATGTTACTTACACATGGAGGTCTGGTTTATTTCACTTGTGAGTATGGTCCCTACTTGTGACCATTTCCCTGTAAAAGTCTCGAGTTTGTCTTTCTTTATAGCTGAGTAATATTCCATTATATAAAAGTACCACAATTTTTTCATCCATTCTTCAGTGGATGGACATTTGGGTTGTTTCCACAATTTAGCAATTACAGATTGTGCTGCTGTAAACATGGAAGCACATATATCGCTGTGATATGATGCTTTCAGATCTTCTGGGAAAATACCCAGCAGGGGATAGCTGGGTTGAAGGGGACCTCTAGGCCTAGTTTGCTGAGGAATCTACAAATTGATTTCCACAGTGGTTTCACCAGTCTGCATTCCCACCAGCAGTGGAGAAGGGTTCCTATTTCTCCACAGCCTCGCCAGCATTTGTTATTGGTTGATTTCTTAATGCTAGCCATTCTTACTGGGGTAAAGTGGAATCTCAGTGTTGTTCTAATTTGCATTTCTTGAATGACTAATGATGTTGAATATTTTCTCATGTATTTATTTGCCATTTGTATCTCCTTATCTGAGAAGTGTGTATTCATCTCAGCTGCCCATTTTTGGATTGGGTCTTTGAATTTGGGGGGGGGCTGATATGTTTTAATTCTTTACATGTTCTAGATAGAAGCCCTTTGTCTGAGGGACAGTCAGCTAAAATTTTTTCCCAGTTTGTGGGTTTTCTTTTTTACTCTGCTGATGATTTCTATAGATGTTCAGAAACTTTTCAGTAGGGTGAGATCCCAGTTGATTCTTTCAAGTGTTTCACGTGCAATTTAGTTTTTGTTGATGAACTCTCTGCCTACCCCTATGTCTTCAAGGTTTTTACCTACTTTCTCTTCCAATACATTTAGTGTTTCTGTTTTAATGCTGAGATCTGTGAACGATTTTGACTTGAGTTTGGTGCATGGTGACAGACTTGGGTCTATTTTCAGTCTTTGGCAGGTGGCAAGCCAGTTCTTCCAGCACCATTTATTAAACAGGCTATCATTCTTCCAGTAAGTTTGTTTGGCCCCTTTGCAAAGATAAGGTGGCAGAGTGTTTTTGTGGTTTTGTCTGTTTATTCCAGTCTGTTTTAGTGATCCTCTGCTCTGTTTTTCAGTCAGTGCCAAGTTGATTTTATTATAATAGCTTTGTAGTATAATTTCAGGTCAGGGATTGTGATTCCACCTGACTTGTCCTTGTTGCCCAGGATTGCTTTCGCTATTCTGGGTCTCTTCTGGTTCCATATGAATTTAAAGCATGTTTTCTCGATATCTGTGAGGTATGCTAATGGCAGCTCAATGGGAATGGCATTGAATCTGTGCAGCATTTTTGCGAGTATGGCCATTTTCACAATGATGGCTCTTCCTATCCAGGAGCAAGGCATGTTTTTGCATTTATTGAAATCCTCTTCAATCTCTTTTTTCAGAGTACTGTAGTTTTCATTGAAGAGAGCTTTTACTTCTTTTGTTAGATTGATCCCTAAATATTTCAGTTTCTTGGATGCTATTGTGAAAGGTATGGTTTCCTTAATTTCTCTTTCAGTCTATTTGTTGTTTGTGTATAGGAATGCTATTGATTTTTGGGTGTTGACTTTCTATCCAGCTACACTGCTGAATTTGTTGATGAATTCAAGGAGTCTTTTGTGGAGATTTTGGTGTCTTTCATGTAAAGTATCATGTCATCTGCAAATAGTGATAATATTACTTCTTCCTTTCCTGTCCTTATTCCTTTTATTTCCCTCTCTTGTCTAATTGCTCTGGCTAATGCTTCCAGAACTATGTTGAATAGGAGTCTTGACAGTGGACATCCTTGTCTTGTTCCCAATTTTAAAGTAAAAGCTTTCAGTTTTTGTCCATTGAGAATGATGTTGGCTGTTGGACTGTCATGGATGGCTTTGATCAGGTTAAGGTACCAACCATCCATTTCCATTTTCTGTAGAGATTTTATCATAAATGCATGTTGGACCTTGTTGAAAGCTTTTTCTGCATCTATTGAGATGATCATGTGGTTTTTGTCCTTGGCTTCATTGATATGGCATATAGCATTTACAGATTTGTGAATATTGAACCAACCTTGCATTCTTGGAATGACTCCAACTTGGTTGTGATGTATGATTTTCTTGATAATTTCCTGCATTCTATTTGCTAGTACCTTATTGAGTATCTTTGCATCTATATTCATTAGGGAGATTGGTCTGTAGTTTTCTTTCTTCATTTGGTCTTTCTCTGGTTTTGGTATGAGTATGATACTTGCCTCCAGAAATGAGGTAGGGAGAATTGCTTCCTTTTCAATTTCATTGAAGAGTTTGAGGAGTGTTGGTATTAAATCTTCTCTGAATTTCTTGTCAAATTCTGCTGTGAATCCATCAGGGCTTCAGTGTTCCTTTGTAGATAAGTTTTTAATCACATAGTCAATCTCCTTAATAGAGATTGGGTTGTTCAGGATTTTTATATCTTCTTGACTGAACTTTGGTAGTTTGTACATATCTAGGAATCTGACCATTTCTGAGTTTTCTATACTATGGGAGTAAAGATTTTCAAAGTAGGTATTAATGATCTCCTGAATTTCAGTAGAATAGATAGTGATTTCGTCCTTTTCAGTCCTTCTTGCATGAATTTTTGTTCTTTCTTCTTTAATAGGGTTGACTAGGGGTTTATCAATTATTTACTCTTTCAAAGAACCAACTCTTTGATTCATCTATGTTTTGCAGGGTTTTCTGCATCTTAATTGCATTTATTTCTTCCCTGATCTTTATAATCTCCTCCCTTCTTTGGGCTTTGGGCTTGACTTGTTCTTCTTTTTCTAAACATTTGAGGTGCAGCATTAGGCTATTTACTTGTTCTCTTTCTGTTTTCCTTATGAGTGAGTTCACCACTATAAATTTCCCACCAAAGAGTGCTTTCATTGCATCCCACAGATTCTGGTAAGTGATATTTGCAATATCATTGTTTGTAAGTATTTTTAAAATTTCTTCTTTAGTTTCTTCTGTGACCCATTGGTTTTTCAGAATGTTTTTGTATAACTTCCAAGTGTTTATGGACTTTCTGGAGTTCCTTTTGTCATTAATTTCCAATTTCATTGCACTGTGGTCAGATAATATGCATGGGGTAATTTCAGTGCTTTTCCATTTAGTTAGGTGTGTTCTATGGGCTAGAATATGGTCTATTTTAGAGAAAGTCCCATGTGCAGCTGAGAAAAAATGTGTATTCTGATATTGTGGGGTGGAACACTCTGTAAACATCTACTAAGTCCATTTGTTCACAGCTTTGGTTCAGATCTATTATTTCTTTGCTGATTTTTTGTCCAGTTGACCTATCTCTTTGTGTCAAAGGGTATTGGGGTCCCCTATTACAATAGTATCATTAATAATATGGGTGTTCATGTCTGTTAATATTTGTCTTATATAGTTTGGTGCTCTGATATTTGGTGCATACATTTTATGATTCTTATCTGTTCCTCTTGCAGTTTTCCCCTAGCAAGTATGTAGTGCCCTTCTTTATCTCTTC